TTCTCTGCCGGAGGCTTTACATGGCATTTAAGCCTCATGGCAATTGTACTCCATAGATAAATTATCCCCAACCCAGAAATGAGAGAGGAGTGATTTTTCTCAGGTTGGTAGTTCAGTCTGGGCAAGAAGTAGACTTGAATCCTCATGTGTCCATGTGCAAATCCTGTGCTACTTTTTCTAGACTGCTAACATTACCAGATTCCTTGGAAGGAATCTCCCTAATTTTCCAACCCCTTTGTCCTTCAGAAGCATCGTTGGGGAGGAAGAGCCCCAAGAGGTCTACACCTTGGCACTATTCTGGAACAAGACAACATCTGGGGTTTTTCATCTAAAAGCTTAGCTTTTGAGAACTAGAAATTCTGACTAGGGCATTTGTGGTTTTTACTTCTCTGTAACACACCTTGAATTCATCTCACATATTCTCTTACCTCATCTCAGAACTATTTCCTAAAGTAGGGAATGTTTCTTCAACTAAGTAATCTATATTTATGTTTGAGCATAATCATAATAAATAAGCCCCAAAGTAAGCAAATGGAAGATGACCCAGAAATGTCCCTCAACATCACCAGCCAAGGATTTTCTAGAAAACCTAGTGTTAGAAAAATATTGAACATTTATTTTTACCAAACTCCAAGTTCTTAAGAAATAACAAGATGAGAGCCTCACACATAAACATTTATGTTTCCACAGCTATCTGGGATGAAAAAGTCACAATGAAGTAAAAATGACAACCACTTGAATTTCTGACTATGATTATAATTGTCTTCATACCAACATATATAAAGGTTTAAACATGTTTAGAAAGTGGTTTCTTCGTAGACTGGTATCGGGAATAGCAGCCCTCTTGGGAAAGGCCAGTCTGTGGTAAGCCAACTGGCAATGGGGATGGGTATGCCAGAAACATCAGTGAGAAAACAACGATTCTAAAATGCCTAGTGTGATTCTGAACCCAGGAAAATTTGCCTGCATTTGGAATTATTGTATCATGGATTGAAACCAGAAATATCATTCTTTGCATGTGTGTGCTTTGTTGCTTCAGCCATGTCTGACTCTTTGCGACGCAATGGCCTGTAGCCTGCCAGGCTCCTCTGTCCATGGGACTCTCCAGGCAAGAGCACTGGAGTGGGCTGCCATTTCCTTCCCCAGGGGATCTTCCTGACCCAGGGATCAAATTTGGGTCTCCGATCGTACTGGCTCAAAGGCTCTGAGAGTTGTGCTCTAAACTAGACACAACTAGTTAATTAAGTCTCAAAAATAATTCTACTCTATTTGTCTATTTCAATTTTTCTTAATTGATTAAACTAGGTAGGGTTATTCACCAGGTAGGTTATGAGGGTGACTCATATAAACGAGCTAGTAGATTTAAAAATACTATTTAGAGAAGTTTTACAATTATGCTTTTTCTCACCCTTTTCCTGCACAACTTCGTAGAAGGATATATCCCTCTAGTCCAAGGTGAATCACTTGGCTAGACTCTGAATGTATACGTGAAGTCACTTCAGTCATGTCTGACTCTTTGCAACCCTATGGACTGTAGCCTGCCAGGTTCCTCTGTCCGTGGGATTCTCCAGGCAAGAATACTGCAGTGGGTTGCCATTTCCTCCTCCAGGGCATCTTCCCAGCCCAGGAATCAAACCCGTGTCTCCTGCATTGGCAGGTGGGTTCTTTACCACTAGTGCCATGTGAGAATGTTAAAATTTAATTTACCATCTGAATGTATACATTAAAATTAAATTTACCATCTGCCCCACCTCTTAAACTGTTGCTTTGGAATTTTCTATCTCAATGAATGCTATCATCAAGCATCAGGCTTCCCCAAAGCACCTCGGAGTCATCAGAGACTCCTTCCCATTTCTATACTCCAGCTCCATCCAATCCACTAGTGTCCTGTCCAGTTTACTAATTCAGTGTTCTTCCTGCGTTTTCATTCTCCTCCAACCCCTCTGCTACTATATCAGTTAAGTCCTCACCACCTTCTAGTGAAGTGAAGGTCGGTCAGTTGTGTCCAATTCTTTGAGACCCATGGACTATACAGTCCATGGAATTCTCCAGGCCAGAATACTGGAGTGGGTAGCTGTTCCCTTCTCCAGGGGATCTTCCCAACCCAGGAATCAAACCGGGGTCTCCTGCATTGCAGGCAGATTCTTTACCAACTGAGCTATCAGGGAAGCCCCACCACCTTCCAAGAACCCCCCCAAATCATTTCCCTGCCACAATCCATTCTCTATACCATGATCAAGATTTTTTCTCTAAATACAAATCTTCTTAAGACCTTTCAATACGTTTCACCATCTTAAGGAAAAAGTTCAAGATCCTTAGCATGGACCGGAGCCCTACATGCTACGACCCTGCAGGCCTACAGGTGTATTCTGTACCACTCCCAACAGGCCCCTTATGTCCCAGTCCCAGCTGAGGACTTGCTGTTTTACAAATGAACCATGTTCCCTCCTCCTTGGCCTTTGCAAGATGGTTCCCTCTACTGGTCATTTGCTTCTTGTCTGCCCACAACACTCCTACTAGTTCTTTAAGACAAGTTCATTCTCTAACACTTCTGGGGAACAGTTATGGGAGGCCAAGATGAATTTAAAGTCACTTACAAGGGTCTCTTCTCCTGTGTTTCCTCAGGACCCTGTGCATACCTCCATTAAGGCACGTGGCCACACAGCATTTCAATTTTTGTTGTACATGTCTCTTTTCTCCACTACATCGTAAACTCCTTGAAGGGAGGAGCTGGATCTTTTATTTTCATATTTCTAGGCTCACCATGGTACGTGATGCTTGGTAGCAGTTCCCATAAATTGTTGTGGAATAAAGGAGATTTCATCCTTCTTCACTTCTAGAAACTTTGCTCAAGCAAAGTTATTTTTCCTCTTTCTGTGTTTTAAACTTCTTTCCTTTAGGTCTAATGCATCCTTAAACAACAAAACCACTTTTTCCATCTTAGCCTCATGTTGTTGAAAGGGGAGTTCAACTGTTGTTTTAAACTCTTAACCTTTTGTTGATTCCTCAACTCACTGAAATTTGACTTTCATGTCATCACTCCAATGAAATTGTTCTTGCCAATGACACAAGTTGCTTCTTAGTTGCAAAAGTCATTCTTTATCTTAAGCAATTACTCTTCAGGATTTCACATGACTGATCTCTTTCTTCCCCTTGAAAACCTTGGCTCTTGTGACATTATTTCCTCTGGTTTATAATATCTCTGAACACTAATCAGCCTCCCTTTGTTTAAATGCTGGGTGTCCCAAGGAAGCTCTTATTAATTCTGTTGTCTAACTCTCCCTGAGTAATTTCTTCTAATTCCACATCTTCAGTGACCAGCTATATACATGATGAGCCCAAATTTTGACCTCCCAAACTTATTTCCAACTTGTAAGAACTTCCATGACTCACAATACTCTCAAATTTTACATTTAAACTTAAAATTGAATGGTTCCCTTCCTTAAACTTGGCCCCTCTGTACTTCCTATCCTAGTGAGTTAGCAATAGAGTCAGGGTAGAATTTAGAGTATTGAGTACTTAACATCATTTCTCCACGTTTCTATACTGGACTGTGTTTAATAAATTTCAAGGAAAAAATCTGTATGTGTATTATAAGTTAGCTTTTGTATTAGTTATCTATTGCTACATGACAAATTACCACACACACTTAATAGTTTAAAACAGCACATATTTATTATCACAAAGCTTCCATCGACCAGGAGTCCAAGCATGGTGCAGCTGGGTTCTTTGCTTAAGGTTTCGCATAGTTGCAATCAAGGTGTTGGTGGCGAATGGCCTCTTATCTGAGGCTCAGGATCCTTTTCCAAGCTGCTCACACTGCTTGTGGCAAAATTCATTTCCATGAAGCTATAGAACTCATGGCAGCTTATTCAAGGTCAGTGGGAGACAGAGAGTCTCTGACTTGTTCACCCTTTCAAAGGTCTCATCTGATTAGGCCGGGCCTACCCAAGACCATATCCTCTCAGTTAACTCAGTCATCTGATTAAGGACCTTCATTACATCTGAAACACTTCCATCCTTTGCCATGAAATGTAACATAATCATGGGAGAGACTATCCTATCCTGTTTGCCATATTCTATTAGTTAGAAGCTGTAGGTTCCAGCATACTCAGGGGAAGAGATTTTACCAGGGTTTGGGTCATGAAAGCCATTCTAGAATTCTGCCTACCATGATTTAATTCTTTTTAATTATGGGTAATGGCAAAAACAAACACATGTTTATAATTTGGAGGTATTAAAATATTGAATGAAAATAAGGAAAGTATAGAACTTTAAAATCTCAAAATTTAACAGAAATGGCATATATTTTGAAAATGGGGAAAATGGTCTTCTGTGTTTAATTGTACCTTACACTTACTGCCTTGGCAGGAGATATAGCCAAGGAACTAAACTTTAGATCATATTATATGAACCTAAAAGGAATAATCAGATAAGGAGTTATGAAGGAAGATATTTAATTACATAATTGGCTTAATTTGAGAACCATTTTACCAAGTGTTAGCCTCCTTTGCATTAGGAGAGGATAAATGTAATTATATGTCTGTAAGTAAGTTGTATGGTTTTCCTCAGTGTTCATCAATTTGACTTTTCCTTGTAGGTGTTTTTCCTTTTAATACTATTGACTACTTTTCATAAGTGCCTAATCTTTCCTTAGGACAGGCAGTTCAGGTATCTTTGAAAGTTGTTTTCTTATAATGTACAATGTCATAGGTACAGAAGTTTCTAGATCCCTTCTCTCCCCTTTCTGGCTCCATATCATCCATAACTCCTTTTCTTATATGCCTTGCAAAGCTGTTCTGGAGTTAATGCCAATACCATATGGATCTGAAACGTATCAGGATCCTGCCACTTTTAGTCTTGCTTCCTGGGGAAAACGTTTCCATTGGTGTTTAGTAAAAGACAGCATGACTTGGTGAATTTCTTTCTTTTTCTTGACACTGGCGATTATAGTGCCATGTCGGTTGTACACAACTGGCATGAGATCGGCTGGCAAATCCCTAGAGATATGTGGTTACTTCCCTACTTTCCCTCTCTTTTGCTTGGGCAACTGCCACACTGATGCACTGGAGCCACTCTTCTGCATTCTTCTCATCCTTGGCCTTGAAAACATAGGTTTTATTGTCTGTGAAGATTTCGAAAGCCCGGGGGAGAGAGCGATCCCTGCGTTTCTTGGCCACAACTTTCACACTCTGTACTTTGCTGAGTTCTATTGGGGAGTCATCAGGATCATCTTTCTGAAATGCATGGGAAGGAAAGAACATGAGCTGGCTTCCAGAGGATGGAAAGATCTCTGGCTCCTGGAGAATTTTCCAAGAGGATCAGAATCTATTCACTTCACGTGACTTGAGACCTTTGTTATTTTGGGTGCTAAGGCCTCGAATAGTCATGAAAACAACTGAAGAAGTGAGCAGCTGGTTTTTTGTTGTACTCTCTTAAGCTAGAACAAAATAGCCAATTTATAGAAAAGTATTGTATGGTGGGACTGGGGAAAATGTTTGATTCATATTTCTTTGACTCTATGCCATTTTCTATTGATATTAACACTGTATTAATAGAGCAAAACGCAGCTGTACAATTTGGGGTACTATTAACTCAGAATTTGAGATAATTTTAGAGGGCTGAAATTGAATTTTTCTTTGGGTTACCTCTGAGAAAGAGGTGTTAATTGAATAAACAGGGCTCCAATGTTTAAGTCAAACTGTTTCTGAAACTTGTTCAATCTTTGGAAGCATGATTTGTCCACAAACATTAAGGGAAGAATATTTAATGATGTTACACTTTTTTTGCATTAAAGCATATACTTAAGAATCTCTCTAACACCAGAGTCATCAGGCCGGGCTAGAATGAATATTTTTTAAGGAATCAGATACTTCTTTAAAGCAATTTCAGATCTTTAATGTCCCTGAATCCATTGTGTCTACTGGAGAATGTACCTGTGGTTGAATCTTGCCAACCCTCCTTTCCCTACCTGCCCATTCATAATCGCCCTTTTTCACTTTGCAATGGAAAAACATCTTTTTTACTCATCCCAAACTTTCTATAGTGTATTGTCCACCTTGGAAAAATCTCAGGAGCATCAAACAAAAAGAGCAATTCAAAATACTGATGTCAGAAGAACAGAGCCCAGAAATAAACCCACACACCTCAGTCAATTAATCTTCAACAAAGGAGGCAAGAATATACAATGGGAAAAACATAGTCTCTTCAGCAAGTGGTGCTAGGAAAGTTGGACAGCTGCATGTAAATCAATGATGTTAGAACACACCCTCTCACTATGCATAAAAATAAAATGGATTAGAGACTTAAACATAAGACATGACACCACAAGACTCCTAGAAGAGATCATAGGCAAAGCATTCTCTGACATAAGTTGTACCAATATTTTCTTAGGTCAATCTCCCAAGGCAATAGAAATTAAAACAAAAATAAGCAAATGTGACCTAATTAAACTTACAAGCTTTTGCAAAGCAAATCATAAACAAAATGAAAAGACAAGTTACAGGATGGGAGAAAATATTTGCAAATGATGCAACCGACAAGGGCGTAATTTCCAAAATGTACATATAGCTCACACAACTCTACAACAACAAAACAAACAATCCAAGTGAAAAAGGGACAAAAGACCTAAATAGACATTTCTCTGGAGAAGACATACAGATGGCCACTAGGCACATGAAAAGATGCTTGACATTGCTAATTATTAGAAAACAGCAACTCAAAGCTACAAAAAGGTACCACCTCACACCAGTCAGAATGGCCATCATTAAAAAGTCTACAAATAAGAAAAGCTGGAGAGGGTGTGGAGTAAAGGGAACCTTCCGGCCCTGTAGGTGGGAATGTAAGTTGGTGCAGCCACGGTGGAAAACAGTATGGATGTGCCTCAGAAAGCAGAAAACAGAATTATCATATGACTCAGCAATCTCACTCTTGGGTATACCTGGTCAAAACTATAACACAAAAACATACATGCACTCTTTTGTTCATAGCAGCACTATTCACAGTAGCCAAGATAGCCAAGGAAACAACGTAAATGTCCATCAGCAGATGAATGGATAAAGAAGATATGTTACATATATACAATGCAATACTACTCAGCCATAAAAAAGAACAAAATAATGCCATTTGCTGCAGCATGGATGCAACTAGAGATTGTCATACGAAGGGAAGTAAGTCTGAAATAGATATATACCATATGATATCACTCATCATACGGTATGTGGAATTATCATATGTGGGATCTAATATCTACAAAACAGAAGCAGACATAGACGTAGAGGACAGATCTGTGGTTGCTGAAGGGGAGGGGTGTGAGGAGGGATGGAGTGGGAGGTTGGGGTTAACAGATGTAAGCTATTCTATGTAGAACAGATAAATAACAAGGCCCTACAGTATACAGCAGACAGAGGACAGAGCACAGAGGACTATCTTCAATATCCTATGATAAAACATTGTAGAAAGAGAATATTTAAAAAGAAGGTATATATATATATATGTATATATATATAGTATAAATAAATGTATAACTGAATCACTTTGCTTTACAGCAGAAATTAACACAACATTGTATATCAACTATACTTCAATTAAAAAAAATACTGATGGAAGTGTCCTTCAACCAAACATTAAAAAGCATTTAACTTTTAAAGTTTAATAACTATTTATTACATTTAATAGTATACTTATAGGTTTTCATAAGTAACATATTTTAAAAAGTTAATAAAAGATCTTAACACTTTGAGACTGATGGTCACAAGAAATTAAAATAACTAAATTTAAATATACATACATAGTTTTTACTGCAGTCAAAAATGATAAGGTGATCAGGATAAAATGCTATGGGAATGGTAGAACAAAAATGTGATTTCAAAGAAATAACCTGAACACATCAATTAAAGAAGAGCTAATTTGTGTATTTTTTTAAATGCATGGTGTTAGGTTTCAAATTGCAATGGTATTTTTTATTCTATTGGTTACATTTAAAGGAGAGATGTGATTTTTAAATTTTAAAGTGACAATATTTACAATTCAATAGAAAGTATGGTTTATGCAACTGTTTAAACTTATGATAAAAGTATTTATGTAAATTAAAATGCTACAAGGGGATATACAGAATAAAAAGTGAAGATATCTCTATAGGATAATAACAATACTTTGTTAGTTTAATTTGGTCTATAGTAAGTATCTGACAGTAATGAAATTATGTATTTTAAATTAGATTATAGTAGAAAATTGATACACGTAGGAAGTGAACAAGAAAGAAAAAAAGGTTACCAGTGGACAGTGAATCATCTAAGATAGAAACAGACAAGAAATCAAAGGAAACCATTATCTAGCTGTCTGGTGGAGATGAAGACCTTAGAAGGCAAAAGTGAAAAATAACACTGTAAGCTTTTAGTGCTTACTCTAAAATGCACATTTTCCTCACTTACAAGAAAGGCCCTCTATGATGCGGCAGAAGCTGCAGCTGGATTGCTGACCACTGCAAGGCTACAGTGTCCCTGAGGATGAGAGGGGTTTTGGTGTGGTCTCTATGCTATAGTATAGTATTTCCTAATATTTGAGCCAAATGATCTGTCAGACTTCTGGAATGTCAAATCGTTATCTCCTGATAAAGATGTCAAATAAGTTAGCCAGTCATAAAATAGCTTATTCTCTAACTTTTATTAAAGAGCTCTGAATCAAGAAGTATAAAGGTCAGTATTTGAGTTCAGGGAAAACACTCTTACGCACTAACTCTACTCTGTCCCCAGGGATCGGAAAAATCACTACATCTTAACTTCTAGTCTGATTTCTTTAACAAAGATAGGAAGTTCAAATGGTCATTTTAAACACTTTAAAGATTCTTCAATGGGAACCTATGCTAAAAAAAAGTGTTTCCTTACACCGCCAATAACTTTCCAAATTGAACACACCATTACATTTCTCATTCAAAAAGATCTTTAGCCACAGGAAAGTCCATCTGGATATTTTACAAAACACACAGATGAAGAAAGTAACATGAGCTTAAAACAGGTGCCATCAAAATGTTCTTTTTCCTTTAAAAAGTTAATGTGAAGCTTTATTAACTAAAAGAACACTGATCAAAATTCATCATAATACAGATACACCATATTTGATTTCTGTTGAGAAGTTCAAACAAATTTGGTAATGAGCATCCTGAAGATGCAGTGCATGTGCTCTTAGTGAAATGTAATTTTTTAGTAATTTAACACTCTCATCAATTAATCCAGACACACTTTGATTTGCTACTGACCCTGTATTTTAGATGTACATGGGAAGCTTGATGGTGTACTCATTTAAGAACATGCTTTGGTGTCACTTTGCCTGAGTCTAACTCCAGTTTTACCCTTTCTCACCTTACTGGCTCTGTCCTCAGACAAGCCCACCAGTCTCCTTGTGCCTCAGTTTCCCCATCTATAAAATGGCAATAATAACAGTGCTGATCTCAAAGAATTGTTCTGAAGATTGTGAGAGATAATCCACTGTGGCACATGATAAGCACTGAGAAGTTATTATTATTATATCTCAAAATAGCCAAGAAGTACATCAAGATTTCATGTTCCCCAATCTTGAGTGAGAAGAGTTTAATGATAAATAAATCTGATTTGGAAAGAAAGGGATACTTTGCATTGTTGATTGCAATATAATGTTATTTCACAAGTTTCTCACTGAAAATTCAGAATACAGATATTTACTCCTACTTAAGACTGAAAATTATATTAAATGAATATTTATTAATTCTTTCAGAATTTTGTTCTATCCATTAACTGAATATTAAGTGAAAGACAGTAATATTTTCCCCAAACAAAACTGAGTTGGGTTGACTACACAAAAAGTACTTAAACTAAATCAACCTTTTCTCTTTCTTCCCTGCCTACTATTCCCCTTCTTCAGGTCCCCACATCCAAATATAGCCTTCAATCATAAAAGAAGTCGGAGTCAAGACCACACATTTATGTAGGTGATCCACAGGAAACAGAATGCACGGGTGGAAGGCAAGATTCCTGGGTAGACCTTCTGTGGTTCATCTTCTAAAACTTATATTAACAAAAAAACCTTTCCATAATAAACTGTGAAGGACAGTGAACCAACTTATGTAGGAACGAATAGAACAGACAGTCAAAAAGGTATATATAATAAAATGACACTGTAAAACTGTAAAATGGAGAAGGAAAAATTATTGGCCATTTTACTCCAAACAAAATGCCTATCAGGTTGGCAAAGATCAAGACTTTAAAAACGCGTGAAAGATGGCAGAGGGACTTACAGACTTTCCTTTTTGAAACAGAAGTTGATTTCCAGCCAGTGTAAAATAACGGGTTTTCCACCTTTTGATGAACTTCCATCTGACTTGCTTCTCTTTAAGTTTTCCTTCTATGAGGGGCTGGCCATCTTGATTTATAACTGTTGAAGGTAATAGAACATTCAAGCCATTTATTTTTCATTATTCATTTGGCAAGTGATCAAAAGTCAGAATTGTACAGTGAACCAGACCCAATAAGTATACTTGTAAAGTGGCTAAAAAATTATGAATCTGGTTAAGCTTTCCCCCTTTGTCCCAGAAGAATGCACAATTTAGATATGATAATGGAAAAGTGTTGAAAGCCCTCATTGAGATTTGCAAAAGGGATATATTTCACGAAAAGAGCATTTGGTTAGCAGTTTTTTAAGGTTCATCCAGATACTCAGCACTGGGCTTCCTAACTCCTTTGTTTCATGGTATTTTATGCACACAAACTTTTAGAGATACAGTTTTATAAACAATCACAAACCAAGTATATTTAGCTATCTGCCAGCAAAAGTCAATGTAGTGCAAACATGTGTTTTCCTGAACCCTTAACAGCTGCGAAAACAAACCTGCCCCACTCTTTTGAACATGATTTTTCCACTCTCTGGAACACACACTCTATCCCCATTCTCCACAGTTAAATCTTCACCTAGTTAAAAACTAGCTATTTCATATTTCAACTCAAAATGTGGCTTCCTCTGGGAGACTTCTCCCAAACCCAGACCCAACTCACTTTGTCTGCTATATATTCTCAGAGCATCTGGTATGTTTCTTTTCTCAGATATCATCATTCAAAGATGATTATTGGCATTTACCTGATTAATGTCTTTCTTTCAATGAGGTCAGCGTCTTTGCTTTGTTCACTATTGTTAGATCAGGCATACCTAGTATGACGTGTGTAAATTTTTGTTGAATTAATGGATTCATTTCACACTGAAGTAGAGTATGGACGATAACACAGAACCATAGAGTTAGAAGATTGATTACGATGTCAGAAGTTTATATGTTGAACTGAAGAATTTCATTTGTTTTACAAACTATGTAAGATTCACTCTTCCAATTCATGTAAAAGAATCTGATTTCTGAGGTGTATGACAATATTTATTTATTTACATTAATGTTTGATATTCATGGCACCTTGAAAGTAATGAAATTTTTTAATTACTGTTAAATTTGGACAGTACCTCTTTGAACATATGAACACAACCTGTCCTTCCCATCCATCATTTCTGTTCTCTAATGTAGGTTAAATAACTAGCTCAGATGGGGTATTTGTCCATCATGACAGCATTGTCAGGGTAAGAAATAATAAAATATATAGTTTTTATAAAAAAAAATGCTATTAAAGCTAATCTGTTTTTTTTCCCTTCTTGTCTGATGACTAGTCAATTGGATCTTCCATTGTCAATCCCAAATTAAGGCTAGTAACAGAAACAATACATGAAATATATTATTAGACAGTAATAGGTTATGATGAAGAGAGTGAGTGACTTGGGGTTGGTGCACATGCATGTAAGTGGTCAGGAAAGAGCTTGCACATTCAAGGTGGCATTTAATCTGAGGTCTCAGTGATGAGAAGTACCTCCCATTTTCTAGCGTGCCCCATGGGGCTAGTACTGGGCATAGCAGAGAGTATGCAAAGCAATTGCTCAAGAATCATCAACAATCAATGCTAACAAAATGATCTGTGTTCTGCTAGCAATCATCTATTAAGAGCTTTCTTAAAGGGAGTATGCTCTTCGCAAATTTAAATTTTCCATAAACACAGTCCTTGCTTCCTTTATGTAGCAGGTAAAGCACTTGGGACACCACATCTTCACCAGGTGCTACTTGTCCTAGAGGGCTAGGATTTAGGTAATATTTAAGCACATGTCTCCTTCTGAATCTGACACTGGGAGTGAGCTACAAGAACTTCTCAACGTAGATCCAAATCTCAAGGCTTCACTTGAAGTGCATGTGACCAAAATAGTCAAAGGAACTGTTTGAGACATGAAGTGGCTGGGATAACATGCCCAAAGACCCACATGCCTACAATGATTGTGAGAGACTCCAGAGACAATGATAGGCTTACTGGAAAATGAAAGGATGAAGACTGATAGAGAAATGCTGCTGAGCAAAGAAGACTTCACTATAGATTTTCACTTCCAGTGAAAGTGGATCCCAGGGAAAAGTCCATGGAAAAGATTTTAGGAAGGAAATTTCAGCAGCACTTTAAACTAGCTGCATGTTAGGACCTTAATTTAGGAATCAGAGTCAACTTCAGGTAATTCTTAAAAGTCAGGCTGTTTGTACATATAGGATTAATTTTAAAATAGTTTCAAAAGGCAAAAAAAGAGAAAGACTAATTTTTTTTTCCAGTGGCTATCCTAGGTTCTAAAAAAAGTTTTTTTAAAATAACTATGTCTGGCATAAGTGTTACTGGCCATGCATTCTTTTAATAGGTCTATTGCCCATAGCACGTCCTGGTGAGCAATAATTCTCATATGATATTGCTGTCTCTTCATGATCAAAATGGGGAACTAATTCTTTCTAAGGATGATCATATTCCACCTGAAAAAGAACATGTCGAATGAGACTATGAGGAAATGATCATGTGCCTAAAACTATCTTGCTTGCATCTAATGCATACAGTATATTTAAGTATTTTCTCACTTGCTAATTAACACATTATTTCATTCAAAGCATCACAGTTTGGCTAAGACATTCTCTACCAACCAGCAACTGTACCTTTTTAAAATTATCAGTTGGTTGAAAATAATTCAGTTTATGGAATATTTCATTTATTTATGAAATAAACTGAAAATAATTCAGTTTATGAAATATTAAACTAAATTCTCTGGTGTAATTGGAACCCAAATTATTACATTTATCAACTTAAAAGTCTTAGAATGCTAATACAAATGGTTATATATTCATTGTATTCCTTTTATGCACCAGGACTTGACGACATTTATGTTGATAAAAGATGAAATTTGAAAATGTTAGTCTTACTCACTGAGAAGTTGGTGAATAATATCAGGCACAGATACCTTAAAGCAATAAAGAATGTTCCTCTATTGATCTATCAGCCATATCCAGTCATCTCACACATAATTTTGAGCACATGTAAGCTATAAAGCACTGCGTTTGGATCTGAGGGCGTCACGAAGCCCAGCTCAGAGAGAGCTTGAGTTTACCATCTTGTGGTGAGATAAAGCATTTTACAAATTTGACAACTCAGTGTAGAGTTTGGTATATAGAAGCCAAGCATTACAGAACTCAAAGAAAGAAAATTCTCCTTCTAGCTGGGAGAGAGTGACATGAGGGCTGGGTCCCTGCTGAAGAAGGGAGAGAGGAACTTGTGGAAGGAGTGCAGAGAAGGACTGAGGGAGCAAGAATGACATGTGAGGGGAAGTGTATGAAAAGAAAAAACCTAAAGAAGCTGGAAGAATCAATGAACTCAGAAGCAAGTTTGTAAAGCAATCACTTTGGTCAAAGTCATGAGCCGAAGGTAGAGGGGTTGCCTGCAGGCAATTTAAGATTTTTTTGGTGTAAGATCCAGGAAAGAGATTGGGCATCAGATAATCATAGGGGAGGTCATATTGGACTTTATTTGAAAGTTCTTCTGAATCCCCATTAGCAAAGATCTTGCTTTTCTTAAGGACTAATCAGGGGCCTAGAGCCAGCACAGGCATGAAGCCTCCTGGACACCAGATGGGATCAGCTGTGGATCAGGCATGGTCACAGCAGGAAACAGGGGCACCTCCAGCTGGGCAACTGGAGGGAGTTAATAAAGGTACTGTTTACCCAGATGTGGGCATGGTGTAGGAAGGGCACCTTAGTGCTCCGGGGCCAGAAACCAGGAGGAGGCACAACACCCCTCTGGTTGAAGAGGAAGTTGAAGAGACCAGTTAGGGGCTGTATGCAAAGCATCGCCCGACAGGAGCTGGGGCTGTGGATGGAGGACACGGTCAGCCTGCAGTGACCAAGCAGGTAGGGAGTCGGGAACAAATAAGCAGACCTCACTCTGCTCCCTCCCTCTGATCGCCTGCCAGAATGTAACTGAAAGCTAGAGGTAAGGAGACTGGAACACTCTGCAGAGGCACCTGTTCTACACTGTGGGTAGGAAGCAGGAAAGCTTCCTGGAGTATCTGTGTCTGGGCTGAATTCCGAAGGACAAATGGCAGTGATGAAGGTGAAGTGAAGAGGGATATTCTGAAAAAAGAAAAAGGAAAATAACCTGCAAAGGGCTGAGGCTGACAGACTGGGCATGCAATGCATTCTAGAAGCTATCACTTATTCTTAGTGATGGGAACCTGGCAGGATCGGCAAGCAAGAGATGAGGTGTGAGATTCAAGAAGAGACCAGTCCTAAAGATCCCTGGACATCATGCAAAGTGGAAGCTGATGCTTTGTAATGAACATAATGAAAAACAATAATTTCTGTAGTCATACAATTCAACAGCATGAGAGTCCAGTAATTTAAGGTCTCCACCTTGCATTAAGGTTTATTGCAATTGTGACTATATCCTTGTGTGTGTGTGTGTGTGTGTGTGTGTGCACATGTGTGTGCACGTGCTCAGTTGTGTCTGACTCTTTGCAACTCCATGGACTGTAGCCTGCCAAGCTCTTCTGTTCATGGGATTTTTCAGCCAAGTATACTGGAGTGGGTTGCCATTTCCTGCTCCAAGGGATCTTCCCAAATCAGGGATCGAACCGTGTCTCTTGTGTCTGCTGCACTGGCAGGCAGATTCTTTACCAACTGCTTCACCTGGTACAGACCTTAGCCAATTGTAATTTAGTTAAATATAGTGTGTTGGATGCCATGTTTTCTCCTTGCTGTAATAAATCATACAGGGCTGTACCAAAGACTTTCTGTGGTCTAGGCCGAGAGTTGATGGGGTAAGGGCAATGATTTGGAATCAGACCTTAGCTGAAGTCCAGAAACTGCAACTTAATGGCTGACTGGTCTTGCACAAGTTATTTAGCTTCCCTGAGCTTCAGTTCGGAGAAGGCAATGGCACTCCACTCCAGTGCTCTTGCCTGGAAAATCCCATGGACGGAGGAGCCTGGTGGGCTGCAGTCCATGGGGTCGCGAAGAGTCGGACACGACTGAGCGACTTCACTTTCACTTTTCC